ATATAGCAAAACTACATGCCTGTTTACTTTTTGTTAGCAATACAAATTTCTAGTTGTATACTTTGAAAATATATATTCACTAATAAAAATGATAAATATAAAAAGACATTTATTGCTGCAGTATATGTAATAGCAATGTATTAATAACCTCAGTGTAGCACTATAAGAGATAGCTGGAATAAAATATAAATGCACAAATAGATTAATAAACAGCTTCAAAATCAAGGTTTTTCTTTATGAATTGAAATGATAATGATAGATATTAAGAAAATAGAGCAGGATGCAAAGAGTTTATGTCCAATAAAGAGATGACATATGCCTGTATTTAGGAACTTGACTACTGACTATTTTTTTCTCAAAAATAAACTCAGGAAGTAAACCAGGAACAAATGTGTGTACATGGTTACCTGCAGGATGGGAAGGTGGCAAAGGTGGAAATGAGAGGCATGGGAGTTAAACCCCTGTGAACAAGTCATTTAATCTGCCTACATTACACAATATTGACTTGTGATATATATGTTTTATACATAGCTTATATATAAAAATTAAAAAATAAAAATAAAAACTCTAAATATAAGCAAAAACGAAGAAATACATTATCAGGTTGAATTAATAATGCAATCTCAGGAAAATGCATAACATTTTAAGACTGCTCTAACTGTACAATGTAGAAGGATACATTCTAAATAAAGAAAGAACTGAAATGAAAATTTGAAGTTCCCTGAAAAGGTTTATTGCTAATTGTGGGATTGAATTGCTGTAGTAATTCTGTACTCTTATATAAATTTTAGTACGGAGAAAATGAGGAAATATTTTGGCCATTTGAAGCCAGAAATTCCACTATGAATAATGGTAAGAATATGGAAGAAATTTGGGAAGATAAGGAGAAAGGTGTTTAGTATTGGTTTGAATTTAAAGTATCACTATAATCTTATGACTTTATATATTTCCTAGATTTATTCAGTTAAATTTCCTAGAAGCATAAGATTTCAGTAATAACAGGCAAAATAAGTGCTCAGATTTTGCTTTCTAAATAGCCCTCCTCACTAAAAGAAATGCAGAGCTCTCTGGACAAAGAGCTATGCTAGAGCTGTGACAGAGACAGTACACACTGAGCCTGCCACACCCTGCTGAGCTAAAATAGAAGTGTAAACAAATGAAAATCAATCAATCAATTAATTAATAGCCAAGAAACAAAAAGGAAAAAAAGAAAGAATAAGTTATTTTGACATGTCAAAGGAGAAACACTGGCCACATTTAGATAATGAAAGCTTTGAAAAATATTATAATATGTTACACAAAATATAAAAGAATCCTGGAGTCTGCAGCAATACTCAAAACCATAAAAGAAAAGGAAAAATCCAGACAAAATGTGTAAGAGTAAAACTTTGAACAGGAAAGGGTTAGTTAAAACAGGTAGAATTAGTTAAACAATGTAATAATTGTTATAGGGTAATGGCTTAAAGCAAGAGAGTACAGAGGATATTGAACTTTTTGGATGAAGATTGTTGAGGACCAGAATATGCAAACTAACTTCACTCCACTCATATACAACTAATAGTGAAGGTACAAGGAAACTCTTCCCATGAGAATTCTGGTGTCATTATATTAGTAATTACTAGGACAAAATGACACATGTCTTTCAACATGGAGCAATGGAAAGTATACCTGGTGTTGACAATATAGTATCCCTCCCAAAATATTTAAATCTAAAAGCCAGTTATAAGAAAACAATCAGCAAATCTAAACTGTGAATACTAGAATGACATCACAGATTGCTTAACTTATTTGCTCTACCATTATTAATTAAGCACCTCCCACGTGTTGTACACTGGTATAAATGGAGAGCTCACAGAACTAGCATGTGTGTTCTTAGCTCTTACCTTTTTTACTTCAAAATATAGGTTAAGTGTTGGTAGGAATGCATTATCTTAGATTGTGTAGTGCACTACTGGAATGCCATTTGGGTAGGATCTAAAACAGAGTATGTGGTCATAAGATTCAAGTCAGAAGCTTGCTTAGCATATTGGAGTAACCATAAGTAATCTGGCTTAATAGCAGCAGCCTGTGGAAGGAGGAAGGTGGTAGACAGTGAGGTTGTCAGGAACTCTTTCATTTGAGATTATCTATAGAAGGCACATGTATTAGTCAGATCTCTGTAACAATAACAAAATACCTGACATAATTAACTTACAAAAAAAGCAGGTTTATATTTTCTCAGAGTTTTGGAGTTTCCAGTCTATAATCAGTTGGCTCCATTGCTTTGGGCCTGTAGAGAGGCAGCACATCATGGAAGAGATGTGTGGTAGAGAAAAACTGTTCACTTCATGACCAGCAATCAGAAGAAAGGTAAAGGAAAAGAACAGGGTCACACCATCTCCTTCAAAGGCATGTGCCCAGTGACCCAAAGATCTCTCATATCGCCCTACTTCCTAAAAATTTCCACTGCTTCCCAGTAGTGACACTCTGGAACAAAAACTTTACCATATGGGTACTGGTGGGGGAAACATTCAAGATTCAAACTACAGCAACATGGTGAGTAATTTGGATGTTTTTCTAAGAATAAAGGGAAACCTTGGAGAGAAATGTGTTTGTCAACAAGAAATTCATATCACGTAGATAAAAATGATTTGTTTGTCTTTTAAAATTTTATTTATTGAGAAAATAAGATACAGTTTACATGTTTTAAAACGTGTATTTTTTGTAGATTTATGCTAAACATCTCAAGAGTCAACTATTCAGCTTAAGCAATTGGAAATTATGAGAGAACTATGAAAGAGTCTGGAAGAATTCTTAAGTTAGACTGTTTTAGTCAAAATTTTTGTCACTGTGACCAAAAGATCTGACAAGGACAATTAGTGGAGGAACAGTTTATTTTGACTCAAATTTCAGAAGTTCAGTCCATGGTCTACTAGGACTTCATAGCTCTGGACCCAGGGAGAGGCAGAACATCATGGCAGAGGATGTCATGAAGGAAAGCAGCTCAGGACATGGCAACCCAGAAGCAGAGATAGAACTCTGCTTACTAGAGACAAAATATATATTCTAAAGGCATGTCTTCAGTGATTTACCTCCTCCAGCCATATTTTACCTGCCTACAGTTATCATTCAGTTAATCCATACCAGTGGATTAATCCACATCAAGTTATAGCTCTCAAAAATATAATCATCTCACCTCTGAAAATTCTTGCTTTATCTCACATGCTGAGGCACATCAATATGTAAGTTCTTAAAATCATCATATATTGTTTTTAACTTATCCAAAACCTCTCAGAAAATCCCTTGTTGACTCATCTTATCAGTTAGACCGGTTATATCTAAAGTTGTTAGAAATCTCAGCCTAGTCATTGTTTTGGTTATCAGTCCAGTATTTTTTTTTTAACTCCAAATTGTATCACAGTAGAGAAAGTGTATATGGCAGCCTTGAGTGAAATTTAATAAATAGCCACCATTGCTTGAGGGGAACAGAGGTGGCAGACCTTTCAAGGCTTTATTTTACCAAGCACCTCATTTGCTAGTGCAGGCGACTTGGGAGATGCTGGCAGGGGAGGAATTGAAAAATCTCTGAAAATGCTTAATTTCATTTTCAATTTAAGTAGCCAGAGCCTACTCAAAGAAATTGTCCCTGGAGTGAAATTTTGCAGCTGAGAAATTCTTTCAAATCTTTCTCATTCTGCTGCTAACGTTCCTTACAGCAAGAAAGAGACAGTTTGGTTCAGTTCTTGTCTTAGTCACATCTGAGGAAAAGAAATCCCTTGGATGTTGCCTCCTGTCTGTCTTTAGTAATGTCTTTATCTGTTTCCAGTGATGCTCTTTAAGCCAGATGGACATGCAAGTCCACATATGAGCTTTTCTTGGACTAACATTGCATTTGATCCTCCTGTGGAGATTTCACTGAGGTCAATGGGAATTGCATGAATGGATCAAGGTGGGATATATGGCCTCATGAGTTTACTACACATTTAAACTATTTGAAAGAAAACAAGAAGCCAGAAGAGTGAGGAACAACTGTGATGAAATGGTCTCATCTGAAAGCTGGAAGCCCACCAAGGGTATTGCACTTCTTGGGATATCATATTCTATTTTTGAAGATACAGCTAAGGTAATAAATGTAATTACATATAAAAACAAGACTGATTTAGAATCACAAACACCATTATGGACTAACTGATTTTTTTAAAGACATAAAATTTGAACAGATTTAACTTCTAGATAGATGTTATGACTTGAAGGAGTCGGTGTCAGACTAGTGTATAGCAGCTATTTTATCATAAGGTCTCATGGTTGTTGCCTTATCTTAGATATAGAGAACAAAAGGTCATATATGTATTCTTTTCTGATCTGTTTCATGAATTAAATTATCAATTGAATTCAGAGAAAGTTGCTAATTTTACTCATATCATTCATTACCTTGTGAAAATTAGTAAATCTTTCTTAGACAACTTATTTGTCTTCCTGAAAAGAGGAATAACAATTCATATATTGGAGAGGTAGAAAATGCTTGGCAGTGCAGCATAGGGAAGGAACAGTAAAGGGGGACAAGAGACTAAGCGGGAGAACAGCTATTTTAACATGCCTGACACATAATAGAACAGTTTCTGATTCTCAGAAAGGGAGCAAATTCCCATCTCCTGGAAAATGACTACATAGTCCATGATCCATCCTGAGCCCTCAGCAGAATAATTGAAACATCAAAAACCAATCAAGAGGAGTTTATCAAATTCTCCTAATCTGCCTTTAAAAGAAGGAAATTGTGAGACTCGAACAGCATCCGTACCTCCTTCCCCAAGTGCACTGCATGGGAGTTCTGAGGTTTTTCTATCACTTTCCCTTTTAAATAAAATTCCATCTTGCTTGCTTACCCTGATGTTTGTGGTGTTCATTCTTCAAGTCCCTGGAACACAAACCCAATCCCAACTCCCACCACTAACACTGGCAGGTATATAATAAGGTTCTCTGCATTGTTATTTTGCTTTGGTAGTTTTCTTAAGATTCTTGGGTAAAAAGTGTAACATACTTTTAATTCTCTGGCTAGTAACTTTTCTAAGTGAAGACTGCTTCCTTTTTTGTAGTTGTGAGTTCTCAACATATCTTGGTTCAATAAAATTACGACCATTTCAACAGTACAAAATCTGCAGGAAGAAAAAAATATGAAAATTACAGCAATCATTGTATATAGACTGAAGATGAAAGCCACTCTTAATTTTACTTTTCTGAATGGAGACTGGATTACCAAGGAATTAGTAAACCAATGGGCAAAGAGGAAAACACATCAAGAACTGAGCCTTGTATTTTCATCCCATACTCTCACATATTAGAAGAATAATGGAGATGATTTCCATATAGGATTATATAATGGGATGTAGCATTTCTTCCATTACAGTCCCCATCCATTCTATGATGGTACAATTCATAGCCTTTGAGATTTCCCCCCATAATTTGTTAATTTTTATTGTGCTTTGTATGACTGAGGGGATGACTGAGTCTCCAGCACCCCTGATCTCTGGTGGACATCAGATGAAATCAGAGGTCTTACCTCATCATCAGGGCTGGCCTGGACATTGCCCAAGGTAGCTCAATTCTTCAGGCATTAAAGAGCTTCTTGATGCAAAAGCAGCTTCTCCATCCTTGGTATCATGCCTGAAATGGCAAATTAGAATTCATTCCTTGTAGGCTGAATTATTTTCACTCTCCAAAGAATTCTCTATTAAAATGCAGATATTGCTTGGAAATTTAACACCTAAGGTTAATTTCTGAAAGTCAACAAATATTTTGGGAGATTGAAAGCAAGATCTGATAAGGATGAAACAAAGAAGAGGGTTTAAACTAAGAAGCAAACAATGAAGTCTCGGGGAGAAAAAAAGAAAGGGAGATGATGGGAAAGGAATAGGGCATCACCAAAGACCTAGTTAACCTACCTCATATGATACAGTAGTGAAAAGAGGTTCAGAAGTAAAGGAAGAAGCCCATCCAAAGTTCTACAGAACTATGTAAGGATGTGTTTGTGAAAAGGCCTTTCTAGGAAGCCTTGTTCATGAGAACCCTGAGGTGAAGACTAAATTTGAGGCTCCACATTGTATTTCCTTCCTTTAGCTTCATCATGGATATTACCATATTAAGGGCTGTGATGATCTCACTTGCATTGAACTAAGATTTCTTAAATTTTTGTACCACAAACTTTTCTTTTACCAAATGCGTATTAAAAAGTTAACATCAAGCCAATATGAGCATCACCATGAAAAGTGCTCAGAGTATATTGCAAAGAATCTTGTTGGGAATCAAGCATTACATTTAAGCTCTGGTTTAATCATTACATATCATAGTGACTTCTCCAATCTTTAGTTTCCTCTTCAATTAAAGACAATGAATTTTTCCTTAATATTCCTTTACATGATTGCTCTGAGCATTCAGGAAAGCACTTAATTGGGAAATATATGGGTGCAAACTGCTTGTTACCCTATTTTGATTTGAGGTCATTACTTTGGGTACCACCAAGTCTCTGAACAATCAGAACAGCACTGAGTCAGTTAGCAGACCCAAGTACAGTTATGGAATATTTTTTTAAATATTTTTAATTCAGATAAATTCCTGAATTAAATTAAATTAATTGGAGAGAGCAAAGTCCCTTGTGTTCTGGACTGTGTCCCCAACCCACCTCACTCCCAAATTTCAATGTTAAAATGTTAAAACCCTAACTCTAATCTAATAATATTAGGAGTTGGGCCCTTTGATAATTTATTGAATTTACAGGAGGTTCCTAAGAGTGATACCCCCAGGAGGGGATTACTACCCTTAAAAGAAGAGGAAAACAGATGAGAGCTCACTCCCTCTCTGGCATGTTAGGTAGGATTAGCAAGAAGGCTGTCACCTGTAAGCCAGAACAAGAGCCCTCATCAGGAACCATATTGATGGGCACCTCAGTCTTAGACTTTGGCCCTCTAAAACTTTGAGAAGTAATAAGACAGCCAAAGAACGTATAACTCATTTTTTTTTTGTTGTTGTTGTTTCAGCAACCCAGTTTTTGGTACTTTTGCCTCAGTAGCCCAAGTCCAAGTTCAAACAACATGCTAGAGTTAGAAAAAGAGCTCTTTTGTGGCCATCTAAGGGAATCCTCCTTGTCACAATAATGGTGTATTAATTTTCCTAAGGGATAGGCCTCCTGAATATTTATTTGAGAAGATCAGTAAATTGGGCATGGTGGTGCATTCCTGTAATTCCAGTGACACAGGAGGCTGAGGTGGGATTATCACATGTTCAAACACTAGAATCAACAAATGGGACTTACTCAAACTAAAAAGTTTTTTCTCAGCAAAAGAAACAATAAGAGAGATAAACAG